ATAATTATTCGTGCGTATTTTTTTCTCTTATCTCAATGGCGCATGTCAGTTATATGCCAACTGACAAGAATTTATTATAGAGCTAAAACATATTTTATCGTTTTATTCATAGCATAACATGAGATAGATTTCTTGGATTTAAAACGAATGGCCATATAATTTATAACTAATATCTCGGTACTTATTATATATCACCCGGCAACATAATAATTAAATAGAAGATCTAATCCGCAATGTTATCCCGATTAAATTGAAAAAATTAAGGACTTTATTTTTCCTGGTAATGGAAATATATAACAACATGAGTGGCGATTGATTGATATAATAAGTTGCGCAAATGATTTCAAAAATTTAAGTAAGATTTCATCTTATGATGTGTTCTTAGTTATGTGAGATATAGTTACGGCAAACTGGTTACAACTAGCTCGTCTATCTGTAAAATGAATTGAATTTATCTGTTTCTTCCTTTTACAATGATATCATAGTTCTTTGTTCGAAGACAAAGGTTATTATGAACTAATGGGAATGAACCAATGAGATTTATTCATATGTACAGAACAGAACAAAATATTAACAGAAAAAAATGGGAAATTGTTGGAGAGAGGGAACGAACATAATAAATTTATTGTTGATTAGATATCTAATAGGAGAAATTAAAATACAAGAACATGTAAAATTTTCATGGGATAAATTAAAATTTCTATTTTTCTGCAAGAATATTTGAAAGTTTTTGGATTTTAATTTCTCCTGCACTAGATACCTGACAACGATGATGGATATCCAGTTATCTCAGAATAAAAATGTCTTCTGATTTAAAACTGTGACTGGTTTGTTCGTAAAAACATATCAGGAATCATTAATTATCAATATTAATTGATAATCAAAAATACAATTCGGTTTTCCGATCATTATATTGACGAAATCATCAGAAAAGCGAGAATGGCGAATGAAAGAGAAATAAAAATAATCTGATGATTACTTTGAATTAATCGTGTGCGTTCCGTCTAATTATGTGAAAGTACTAGTGAATATACAGATGTGTGTTACTTGACTATTTCGCCTCAATGCGTGAACAATAAACAATAAATACATATATAGCCACTCGTTCTCTCAGCTGCTTCCTCTGCGCTCCGCTATATCTTTGAATAACATAAATATTGATGAAAATATTGTATTTGTACAAAAATCTAAACATGTGAAGTCAAATATTTGATATATTTAAATATGCAGTTAAAAATCTCGAATGTACGTTCAGCTTCACTGTTTATCCTAAGTTTTTACGCATGCTTTGGGAAATTCGTCTTTCTCCTGATTCTACTTGAGTATATAGGTAGTTTTGAAAGCAAAAACAAGATATATAACTCGAAAGACCGTTAAGATCAATGTATACTGGTTCTACGAAAAAGAAAGTTGAATAGAATAAGCGACGTAATATTATAGTCATAGCTGATCGTGTCACTTAATGTTGTATATAAAGCTGTATGTTATATCAGTACAAAATGCAGTGTCGTCGGTTGCAGCAATTATCTACGTAATAAAAAGAACTATCGTTTTTCTTAATAAGAAACTAACGAAACATATATTCATTTAATGAAAAGCTGCGGAAAACATCGAACAACTTAAATCGACCAAGTTATATGTGTATTCTTGAGTATTTTCTATGATCAACTGTGTACATTAAGAAAAAATTGAAAATGTTTTGTTTACAAAATAGTATTCGTAAAGACAAGGATCGTATAAATACTTATAAAGTGTTATATGAATATGTCCTGAATTGATTATATTATTTCGTCACAAATAAATGACAAGAAAAACGTCAACAGTGTCTACTCTGTTTTTAAAACTACTGTAACTTATCAAATAACCATACAACAATAAGAAAAATAGTGGCCACGATTTGATTGGAGCAGGAAGCAATGACTTTTAATCTTGCTCGCTGATATGTATTTTCTATTGAAGAGTTGTAATTCTGTCTCTAAATTTTAAAGATTTAATTTCGTCTCAATGAAAACTTCAATTTTTGTTAAGTGCTCTCAGAATGCGATTAAAATTCAAATTTTACTTGTAATATTGAGAAAAGTTGTCTTCTGAATCATCTTCGTTATAGCTTTGACATGACAACGTACCTCGTCGCTTTAGATAACTTTCATTTCTTGCCAGTCACAAATGCAGCCTTGGCGTTAGGCCTTTTGTGCGTAGTACGCCGGTCATTTAAGGCCTTCTTCCTCAGAAAATTCACTTTTTTGTCAGAAATTCTGAAATTGAGATAAATGCATGGAAAGATAGCCCGATGTCTGCTCTTTCAGAAACAACATGATTTTTTCTTTGACATCTCGTTTTTTTTGATAATTTTCGTCATCTTCTGCTTGAAAAATATACTTTTTTCATAGAAATCAGAGAATGTTTTTCGGTTTTTCTCAGTTGACACTTTTTCGAACGCACATCCCAAATTTCTTCGTCCAAGCTCGTCCGATATATTTATATATTTTTTTTGTTTGAAAGAGCATGTTAAGATGCAGGGCATGAAAGAATCCTTTTTCTAAAATAAGCTTTGTTTTTGTTATATGTATAGACACTTATATAATTAGACACTCATTTTTTGGGAGTGTTTTGAGTCATTGAACTTGTGATTCCTTTTTTCCGCTAAAAAAGTAAGTATTAAAAAAACGGGCTCTTTCATGTCCTGCATCCTGACATGTTCTTTCAAACAAAAAAAAAATTTTAATATATCTGACGAGCCTGCACTAAGAAATTTGGGTTGCCAAATGAGCTATTTTTGACCCTTGGTTGGCCCATATCTCTGTGAAACGTCGTGGGATCGAGCTAAAAATTTTATCACAGATTCTCCATTACATCCCCAACCTATTCTGAAAATTTCATATGATTCGAACGAGCCAGGGTTGAGATCGATTTTTGAGGGGGAGATCTTAATAGAGACGAAAGAAATTCAACATCGCTAAAAAATACTGATCTTTTTCAAATAGAGAAATCTATCTCCAAGGAAAAAGATTTTTAATTCAGTAGTGTTATGAAGATTAAGATCTTTTCTGATCCGACAGTTAACGATTTTTATTATTGAAAACCGTGCAAAAGCTAACAGTTTTTTGAGCGTTGTTTGTTATGTCTTCATTAGAATCAAAGACTTTCAATCAATCGTTAGTGCATAATCTCGAAGAATATTATGGACTATGTAAAAATTTATGTTTTATTAGCAAATACTAGTAATTCATATGATATTTAAAAACTATGAGTATTATTTAAATTAATTCGCAACTCAAAAACTCAAAGTTCGTGATTATGAAAATGGTCAAAATGCTCCATTTTTGAGTCATAACCCATTTTAACGGCTTCGTTACCGTTATTCAATAAAAATAGTGCATTTTAACAGACGAAATGGTCTAGCTACGGATAATAATGCATTTTAATGACCATTTCTCCATTATTTACTTCGTAGGGAAGTTTTTCCAAACATATAACCAAAAATATGGTACTCATTTTTGAAGCTGAATATCTCAGCATTCAATTGAGTTATAGAGCTGCGGTTTGCGACAAAATACTCAATAAATGATGCCCTTTTGACTAGTCGAATCGAAATCGAACAACTTCGAAAAAACTCGATGAAGTAAAATTGATGATGGCTCACGTGCAATGGTGCGTATAGAAGCGCGTGTTCTGTTGTGAAATACAAGTAGTTACATGCTGCAGATATGAAGTACGTAATAAACATTATTACTGAGAGTGACGGTAAAGTTTCTTTTCTAGTTTGCCGTTACAGTGTTCAAACTTGCTCATATGATATAAACCGTTGAAAACCGGCCGGTTGATTTCGCTTCATTGTCTCTACCGTCGGTTAACTGTGCTTCAACGCTCAATTAACCGGAAAAATAACCCGACAGCTAGCAGCATTGAAATTAACCGGTGGTTTTCGAATAGTTTATATCACATTGGTGTTTTTTTCAAAGAACTTTCTGTTCAATTGTTTTATATCGTTCTACGAAAGGAATATAAGTAGATTTGCTTAGAATCTTGAAGCCTCTATTACATGATATTTATTTCCTCTGTAAGGGAGAGAATATCATGAACCTTGTGTTTTTTTCAAAATACCGCTTTTCACCAATTAACTTCACCTCTTAAAAGAATGTACCACCAAACTTTTGTGAAACACGATCTGAAAGGAGTGTTGAAGTGTTTAGGGTAGAAATTTTGGACCCACTTCCCCCCCACAGACGGTGACAGAGAAAATTCATACCCATCACAGACCGTGACAGAGACCCTCCGGACCCATCACAGACCGTGACAGAGAATCCTGGGTACCCATCATAGACCGTGACAGAAAACTCTGGGTACCCATCACAGACCGTGACAGAGAACCCGGGAACCCATCACAGACCGTGACAGAGAACCCTGGGTACCCATCACAGACCGTGACAGAGAACCTCCGGACCCATCACACACCGTGACAGAGAACCCGGGTATCCATCACAGACCGTGACAGAGAACTCTGGGTACCCATCACAGACCGCGACAGAGAAACTGTAGTTGTAAAGCATCAGATATACGGTCAGCTACAAATGGGTCGCAAGGAAATGGAACAAAAGGATTTCCATTTTATTAGTAACAATAGGCCCATCGTGTTTCACATTTTGTATCCTGCAAGGGATTGCGCTAACAGCTTTTACCTCTGGAGAACACTTTCAAGTATCTGTGGTAAAAATTTCAGCTCAATCGGACAAAGTTAAAGAGGGTTATAAGCAGACTAGGTCGAAAAAATCGATGTTTTGCGTTAAGCTATGTAAAAGAAAAGAATTTCGCTATGATTACTTTGGAAAAAAAATTTCTGAAATTCAACAATTCTGTAACAGTAAGCTATTTAGGGTCAAATTATGTCTCTAATTGCTGATGACACTTGGGACTATCATACCTTATACCTAGCTGGAAACCGACTTTTTGGTCAAAAAAGAGGAGAGGGGAGGGGAGATACCCTTAATTGTTTAGAAGCAATGGTTGAAGCATGTTTACCATCATTAGATGAGCATGAAGATGGATCGGAAAGTGGAGTAAATAGTGGAAATGGTTTAACAGGAAATAATGAAACGCGACATGCATCTTTACGTGATCATCATACGTTTCGACATCATCATCAGTATTCAGCTTCATCAGCAGCTGCTTGTTTTAATGCTAATTTATCTTCATCAATGTCGAGTGTTTCGATAGATGAATTTTAATTTCTTGTTTGTGTTATTTTAAAATAAAGAAATTCTTTTGTAGATTCAATTCGTTTACCAACTGATCGTAATGCTCAATTTTTTGATTTAAATGATCTTAATCATCCAACATAATCTCAAACTCAAAGTGGAAATTATAATTGATCTCGTATAACACAAAAACCAAATCTTATATAAAGATTTTTTTTTGTTGTTTTTATCTTGTATATAATAGTCATTATAAATGTTGTAAATTATATTCAAAAAAAAAAAATATTTTATTTATATTTATTCGATTTTTTTTCATTTCAATGTAGTCTTTTAGTGTTTATTTTAAATAATAAATGTATCTTCATCAAGTAAATATATTCTTGAAATGAAGTGAAAGCACATTTGAAGCGATGATCGTACGCACAATAAATAAAACAATAAAGATTATAAAAAAACAAAACAAATCAAATATAATAAATAATAATGGATATTAGATTAATTCAAAATATTAATTATCTTCTCGTATTTTTATGTCTTATTAGCAAAAAGAAATGATTAACAAAGAAAGAAAAGATCAATTGAAAAAATTGAATGATATGAATAAAAATATCCAAGAGAATATTTATCTTTCAAATTAAAGTTAGATCGTCCATTATTTTAAAGTGAATTATCGTACTAAATAAAACAAAACAGATCAGAGATGAACGTTTATTCAAAAAATAAAAATACATCAACTAATCTAAGGCTTTTTTTTGGTTTTGTTTTCAAAATGTCGACGTTTACTGACATCACGTACCGATAACCAATTAACTATTTGTTTTATAATCAGCGTATGTGTATATTCTTCAGGATACATTTCATTTTGCATGTGTCTTATAAATGATTGTTGTTCATCAGTAGATTCCATTTTAACATGTGCTAAACTATGTCGTTCATGAGATATTTTACGTATATTGATTAGTTTGAATGGTGCATGAATTAAACTTTCTAATTCTTTTTCAATTGGTGCTACTAATTTAACAATTGATGGATGTTCTTGTACTGAATCACTGAATACATCTTTTTGATCAAGTTTTAATGATTCAAGTAATCCCCTCTCACGTATACACCATTCATCTAGAAAAAAAAATAGATTTTTTAAATTATTAATGATAGTTTACCAGTTAATTTTTGCCAATTATCAATTTTTGGATGATTTATTGCACATATTGCGTCATCGACATAATAAAATTGAAAAAGACGTAATACTTCATAAGCTTCCATCGTTATATTATTAATAGATGAACTTAATTCTAATGAACCGACTCTTTTAACTAAACCATCAATTTTTGACTGTTGTGATGTATTTTGATCTTTAAAATCCTGTAAACTTTTTTCTTGATCTTGATTTAAATTTTGAAGATCTTGCAATACTTTTAGTTGTTCTGCATTTGTAGTTGCAAAGTCTTGTAATTGTTTAACTTGTTGTTCATTAATAGTTTTAAATTCATCAAGTTTTATTTGTTGTTGTTTCATATGATGTGAAAATAAACCAACAGAAAATTTTAATTTATCTATTTCCTTTAATATTAAATCATAAATATCTTTAAATTTTTTTTTTATTGAATCATGAATATCCAATGCAGATAAAACGTTGTTGATACATTTATCAATGTCATTATTGATCGATATAGATAATTCCATATCGTCAAAAACTGATTTAAATGCTTCATAAGCTTTTTTCTTTTTTTCATCCGTTTGATTATCATTAATAATCAAATGATTCTCATTTAATATTTGATAAATGGAATTGAATATTTCTTGTTTATAAACCTCCATGATGATAATGAATATGTACTGAAAGAAATAACACAAAATTATTTATCTGAAATAAAAAAATGTCAGACGTTTCAATTAATATTCATACTTAATTAAAGAATTATTTTATTTTGATTGAATTTATACACTCTAAAAAAACAAGACGTATTAAGCGTCTAAATAAGACGTTTTATTCGTTTAGACAAGACACTTCGGGCAAATTTTGATTGGCTCATATATTTCTGATTTAGACGCTTCAAGCGTCAACGGATAACCGATTTTAGACACTGGTACGTCTTATTCACAATTGGTTGGATGATTTTGACAAATGAATGAAGCGTCTAGTATGTGTCTTCTCTAGACGCTTCAGTTGGTTCCAGACTTATAGTCGACAAGAACAAATAATTTAAAGATTGGAAAGAGATTTTGATTACAAAACTTTTGAAAGAAAATTCTATATATTAT